CAGCTCAGACTTGTAGTGATCCTCTTGTTCTTAGCCTTCCCTGTGCTGGGATTACAGGTGTGTGCCACCATTCTTGGACTCAGTTGATGTCAGTGCGTGGGGGGGGGAGGGGCCTGGCATGTGGTGCCAGGGACTGAACCTTGGTCCCTGTGCTAGTCTAAGCAGGCGTTTGGTCTGTTGAGCTATCTCGCCAGTCCTGATGCTATTATAAATCTGACTCAATTTCCTACCTGGGTTGTTAGTTATTACTATATAAAAATATAGCGGACTTCTGATCCATTGGTTTTGTATCTTCCACCTTTGTTGAGTTTGTTATTTCTAATAGCTATTCTGTGGAACATTTAAGGTTTTCGACACACAAAATCAAATCAGGACTAGGGCTATAGCTCAGTGGTAAAATATTTAACTAGCATATGTGAGGCCCTGGCTTCAAGGACCCTCCTCTCCATACCCCCTCCCAAGAAAAAGAAAAAAAAAAATCAGGTCATTAGCTAACAAGTAATTCTACTTCTTCCTTTCTATATGGATATTTTGTTTCATTTCTTTTTTCTTTTTCCTTTTTTTTTTTTTTTTGCCTAACTGCTCCAGCTAGGGCTTCCAGTACAATGCTGAATAGAAGAGGTGAGAAAGGCCCTGCAATCTGGTCCCTGTTTCCTAAACACTGCACATTAAAGGCCTGGTCCCCAGAACTGCACTACTGAGATGTGGCAGAACCTTCAGTCTAGTGAGAGGCCTGCAGGTCACTGGCAGAGGCATTCTTTCAATGGGAATGCTGCCTTTTTCTCTTTCGCTTCCTGGCCACTGGTTTGCTCTGCCTTGCACTCCTGCCATGTGTTATTACAGGCCCAGAACAATGGAGCCAAATGATCATGGAAGAGACTCCAAAGCTGGAGGCCAAACAAGCCTTTCCTTTTCAGAAGCCAATCACCCTGGTTTCTGTGCTAGCAAGGGCACCGTTGATCTGAGTAGAAAAGCTTTCCAGTTTGTTGTTTTATTTCTACATATTTGTGAATTTTTCCATTTTCTTGCTGCTAGCAATTTCTAGTTTCATTCCATGGTGGGCAGAAAAGATATGTAGTAAGCTGTCAATCTTTATAAAGCTGTTGGACCATGATCGAACGTGTGTGATCCAATTTTCTGTAATGGAAAATTCTCCTCGTGTGCTTGAAAAGAATGAATTTTCTGGTCCTGTTAGGGAGAAAGTTCTGTATATGCTGTTAGGTCCCTTTGGTTTTAATGTTGGTGAAATCAGCCATTTCCTAGTTAACCTGTTCTATACCACTAAATGTGATACTAAAATATCTTCTTTTTGTGTTGCTATCTATTTTTCCCTTCAGTGTGGTATTTGCTTCATTTATTTGGGTATACTGATTTTGAATGCATAAACAATCATTCCTTGGGGGGCTGGTGAGATGGCTCAGTGGTCTAAAGCACCTACTTAGAACAAGCTTAGCAAAGCACAGGGACCGTGGTTCAATCCCCCAGCACCACATGCCAGCCAGCCCCGCCCCCTGGTGGGCTGAGCTGGCCACACACACACACACACACACACACACAAAAAAAAAAAAATCATTCCTTGGTATTTAGGGCCAACTGGATCCAGGACACTCTCTACCCAATACCAAAATCTGCTGATGCTCAAGTCTTTCATATAAAATGGCACAGAGCTGGGTATAGTGGCACATGCCTATAATCCCAGTACTCTGGAAGGCTAAGGTAGGAAGACTGCAAATTAAAACCTAGCCTGAACAACTTAGTGAGACCCTATCTTTAAAAAAAAAAAAAAAAAAAAAAAAGTTTGTCTTGAAATCTAATTCCCAGGCCAGCCAGATACCTCAGAGGAGTAAAGTGCCTGCTTAGGCAGACACAGGGGTTGGAGGTTTGATCCCCTGCCTGTTGTGCCAGCTCCACCCCCAGGGCGTGCTGAAATGGTGATTTGAGACTGGTGGCATGAGCCTGTAATCCCAATGCCTGGGAAGCTCAAAAACAGGAGAATCACTACAAGTTTAATGTGTGTAGTAAGACCCTGTAGATCCTGCACTAAATACAAAAAAGAAAAAAAACAAAGATAAAACAAAACAAAAAACAACAGAAAGAGAAATCTAAGTCCCAAAACCAAACCAAACCATATAAAAAGCATAACAGCCAAGTGTAATGGTACATGCCTATAATCCCAGTATTGAGGGGGCTTCGGTAGGAGGATTGCTGTGAGCTCAAGCCCAGCCTGGGCTATATAGTAACACCCTTTTTTCTTTCTTTCTTTCTCCCCCCCCCCCCAACCAGGGATTGAACTCAGACCCTTGTGCTTACCAGGGAAGCGCTTATTCTACTGAGCCATCTCCCTGGCCCAATAAGACCCTTTCTTAAACCAAGCCAAACTGAACCACATGAAACCCAAAAAATCCCACCAGAGCAGGGTGTGGTGGAACGTGCCTGTAATCCCAGCACTCAGGAGGCTGAGGCAAGAGGATCACTGTGAGTTGAGACTAGCCTGGGTTCTAAAGTAAGCTCAAGGCCAGCCTGAACTTCAAAGCAAATCCCTGTCTCGAAAAACAAAACAAAAAACAACAACCCCCCCCAACCACTACAGTATCTGCACATAATCTATATGCATCCTTCCACATAGCACTATGAAAATGGTTTTTATACTATATTGTTTAGGGGATAATGACACAGGAAAAAGTCTGAACATGTTGAGTACAGAGGGAACCTTTTCCCCTGCAAACTGGCACATTTAATCTGTGGTTGGCTGAATACATGATGTAGAACCCATACATAGGGAGGGCTTTGTGTACTTCTACCTGGTATATCTTCCTGGTGAACCAACCCTTTTAGCATGATATAATATCCTTGTTTTTTTTTTTTTTTTTTGAGACAGGATCTTGCAAGTTCAGACTGGCCTTGGAATTACTATGTAGCCCAGGCTGGCCTTGAACTCAAAGCAATCCTCTTGGCTCAGCCTCTGGAATGCTGGGATCAGAGGTGTACACCATCACACCTGGCCCTTCTTTTGCCTCTTGTAACACTTCTTGACCTAAGTCTATTTTGTACAATTATGTCTAATCCTGTTCACTTCTGGTTATCAGTTGCATGGAATACATTTTCTGTCTTTTCATTTTTTTTTTTTTTTCTCTTGTATTTAGGGCAGGGTCTCACTGCATACATAGGACTTGTAGTAATCCTCCTGTTTACAGCCTCTCAAGTGCTGGGATTACAGGTTTGGCACCACCACGCCCAGTCTCAATTGCTATCTCAGCGAGCCCTGGGGGCAGGGCCTGGGCAGGCCCGGGGATCAAACTCCTGCTCCCTGTGTCTGCCTAAATCTGCTGAACTATTTGGCTGGCCCTATCTTTTCACTTTCATCTTGTATATATACCTACAAATCTGATACGGAGTCTTTAGTAAAAATATATATAGTTGGATCTTGATTTCTTTTATCCATTCAGTCACTCTGTGTCATTTGATTTGGGATGTCTAATTACTCAATGAGCACTGTCTTGGACTTGGGTATATCTTCCTGCTGAGTCTCATTGTCTCTGGAGAATAATCTTCTCTTTTGGCTTCCATATGGTATATCAACATTCTCCCTGGAACATATTACTAAATCCTACCAGGAAATGTAGTTTTTAGCTTTCCATCCAATTCATAGAAATCTTAGAAAAACTGGCAGCAAGGTACATATCTTATTTGGACTACTCAGTAGCCAAACAGGTTTTGGCATTTACCTTTCTCCTCTTAGAGTGGCTTTAAGGTCCCCCACACACCTATCTCCTGAGCTTCCTCTGTAACCTTGCTTTACCAGTCAGTGGCTACAGAAGTAGGCTACTGCTGCTTCCTTGGCTTGGAACGTCTTTCCGTTCTCATGCCATCTCTTGCTGTTCCCCTCCTTTAGCTACACTTTCCTTGCTCTGCGCCTCAGCTCAGACAACACCTTTCCAGGCATTTCAGAGCCTGACACACTCTACATACACCATGATAGTTGGTTACTATGCTCTCTTAGTTCCAGTATGCCAGATACCAAGAGGACACATTTATTATAACAACAACCTGGGGTGGGACAAATGATTAAATAGACTTATCAGCTGTAAGAACACAGATGGGTTTCACACAGAAATATTAATGTTGAAATTCAAAGGGGTAAAATTTCAGTTATTACTTTAGTTTCTTTCTTCTTTTCCAATATCCACCTCAGTTTCTTCCCTCTACAAAATACTGCAATGTTCAATTCTGATTATATGGCTTTAGGAAAATGGCTTAAAACAATTTGTCTAGGTGGATGCCAATATTCACTAAAAACTCTGAAGTGGCTTGCAAATGACAAATCTGAAGACATTTGTAGTTCACAGAATGGGAATTTGGTTAAAAGAAGAAAGATCTGCCACAATAAGATGACTAGATGGTTCTGGTCTCCCCTGATATAAAGAATTCTTACAAGAACAGTCACATGGCTATCAGATACAATGCAAATGCTACCATGCTGTCCAGTTCTTTTCTTTCTTTCTTTTTGTGGAACCAGGGATCGAACTCAGGCCCTTGCGCTTGCCAGGGAAGTACTTATTCCACTGAGCCATCTCCCCGGCACTGTCCAGTTCTTTAAAGGAATGTTGTTTTGACTTTGAAAATGGCAGGAAGTTTGTGAGTGGGGCTGGGTGTTCTATTTGAGAAGGAAAAGAGGAAACAAGAAAATGGAACAAGCACTGAAGAAAAACAATATTTCACATTGCATATAATAGCATTTGCCTTTGCATGAAGATGACATAAAACAGATCCAGAGCTTTGTAACAGGAAACCTAGAACTGGCCCCCATCTCTGTAACCATGTCAACCACCATTCTCAAAGTACTGAACTCTGCTTTTATGCAAATGAGAGCAGCCAAATATTCTCATGTACCAGCATGCAGATACATAAGGGCCATCAGCGTTGCCTCTAATATCAAAAGTCAAATGTATGTACAAAAAACCACAACCCCCACCCCCCAAAAAAAAGACAAACCTCCTTACCTTCCGGCAACGAGGGTTAGGACAGCTGAACCTCTTCACATCACTGTCCAACAGAGCAGGAAAGCTGCAGGAGGGGCACCTGGGGTCAAAAAGGTAGAAGCAGCAGGACTCAGTATGAAAGTCTGCTTCAGTTTCATGTGACTGCTCCTACTAACAGGCAATTTTCAACTGAGCATCAATATTAATTTTTATTCCTTGGTCAACATTAAAACATGGAATAATGGGGGAGCCAAAGGAATTTTGGACCGGAAATTTAGTTTTACACTGGATACCGGAACAGACTTAGGAAGGCCCAGCTTCCGAAAATGCCTAGCATTTAGCTGGACTTTCTCCTCTTAGAGTTCGAAGCGTGAGTTCTAAGAGGAGAAAGCCCTCTTCTTATCCTATCATAGCGTCAAAACCATGAGTTATACATGAACAAGTGAATGTTTTCTCTAGACTGGCGCATTATTGACCGAGCTTTGCCGAGCCTACTATATCAGAGCGCTGAGTCCCTGTATGTTGTGTTTTGAATTCCCTTTCCTCGAGTCTTACCACACCTGCCCCGAAGGCAATCTAAGCCAGCCGGAGGGGAAAAACAAAACAAAACAAAAAAACAACAAACAACAAAAACAAAACAAAACATGAAATAAGCCTCATCTCTGTACTGGCTCTTTCAAGGATACACAGGTGCATTCTAGGTTTTGACTCAGTGCCAGTCCTCTCAATAAACATATATCCCACCCTTTATGAAAATTCCTTGCATATTTTAGCTCTAATTCAAGGTACAATGACTGTACCCACAGGCCAGAAGATTAGGAGGTAGGAAGGCATATAGATAAAAGATTCAATCTATGTTTTTCTGTTAATAAAATTAAGCATCTTATTTCTTGGTAAGACATGCTAGAAAACATGCAGGACATAGAAGATATCTTTACACTGGGGAGATCCTGTGAACTCACCTGACAAGCTCATCAGCATAGGCTGCAGCAACTTCCTCTTCAGCTTTTCGTTCATAGTATTTACACAGGATGGTCTGCGGAAGTACCTTCTCCAGCTCACTGGTTGGGAAGGAACATGTGCAGCTGCCTTCCATGCAGCTGAGCTCTGACTAAAGTAACAAGAGAATAAAAAGCCTCAGAGGGTAAATGGATCTCTCATTGGGAAGCAAACATCTCTCTGTGACTTGCTTTCTGAGAAAATATATCCCAAACCAAGAAACCATATGACAAAACACAAAGTCCACACTATAGAACCACTAGCAGCCCAATCCACAATCCATGAAGGCTGGAAGGATGGTACACTGCTCAGTAGAATGGATAAAGGTTTTAGCTGTGTCTGAAAATGAGATGCTGTTGAGAAGGGAACTGCCTCCCTCTCCAGATCCTGGAATGTGAGACAGTCCCTGAGAAGACAGCTGAATAGTGGCAACAGGGTGGGAATTGACATGAATAAACAAGAAATGAGATAGCAAGGACCTCCAGTTACAACCACTCCAGCAGACTCCTAGAGAGAGGACAAAAATTCAGAAAGAGCTGACCAAATGGGAATCAGCTGGAGAAGGCAAGGCTGAGGTATGGCTTAAGTCAACGCTCAAGTGAAGGCTGCAGCCTCCCACTCAGCTCCAGAACGCAGAAAGGTGGGCTTATAGCTGTAGGTAGGATTCACACCTTAATCCAGCAAAGACCTAAGACTGTCATCTGGGGCTTGCAACACGAAGCACTACCTGGCCCATCTGGGCACCTAGGCTCAGACTCATCAGTTTCTAAGCTCCACTACTTGAACAGCTTCCAAATGGTCTTTAATACAAAGGTGCCAGACTTTTGAAGAGCACTTCAAATCAGGAAGATAAAACAGCAAATTAAACTCATGGAGAAATGCATCTTAAAAATAACAACAACTGGGGAAAGGGAGTTAGCTCAGCAGCATAAGTGTCTGCCTGGCAAGTACAAGGTCCTAAGCTCAATCCATGGAACAAAAAACAAAACAAAACCAACAGCTAAAATCTATGATGTTTCTTCAACACTCAATCTCTTTCAACATTTATAACAACTCAATGAGTGTCTTTATTTTAAAGCAGAAGATGCTTAGAATTAAACTAATTTGCTCAAGGTTGCCCCAGTCAGTCAGTGGAAGATCCAAGATCCAATGTTCTCTGCCATACTCTAAGGTCATACATTTTGAAAAACAAAACCTTTTTATACTTTGAAATACTGTGTTATGGAACTTACAAAAATTGCAAAAATAGGACAGAGTTCCCAAATTGTCTTTACACCCAGCTCCTCCTGATATAATGTTACATGTAGCCAGAGGATTTAATCAAAATCCAGAATTTACAATGGTGCAATCCTATTCATTAAGCTACAGTCTTCATGTAGATTTCAAGTTTCTCATTAATGTCTTTTCCCACAGGTCCGATCATGTGGCTGCTTGTTTCCTTTACAATATCCCCAATAATAAAAATGTAAATGTAAATAAGTGTTTCTCTGAGTTCTCTGAGCTGCTCTAGCAAATTAATTGAGCCTATACAACAAGTCAAGGAACTTACAATGGCATACATCTATAATCCCAGCACTCAAAAGGCTGAGGCTGGAGAATTGAGAGTTCAAGCCCAGCTGAGATAGACAGCAAGACCTTGACCCCCTCTCCCCGCAGCAAGTGATGAGAATCCTAATTTGTACCCAGTCACGTCAGAAGTTTTAGAGGTCTGGACTTGGAACTGGTGTATGAAATGGAGAAATCTCTGGGACTGATTCCTCTATCTATGGAATATGACAACATCTCTAGTAGACAGTGTCAGAACTGAACTTAGAGGATGCCCAGCTGCTGTGCCTGCTGCAGAACTGACTGACTGCTTACTGGTGGGAAGAAATCCCCACACATTTTGGAATCACATAGGTGATCTGTGTTTTTACTGTACAGTGTAAGAACCTGAGGCTGAAATGTTTTGCCTCTATATCTCCCTGGACAATCAGATCAGTCAGTCAGTCAGTCAGTCAGTCGTCAGTCAGTCTGTCTGTCTGTCTGTCTCTGTCTCTCTCTCTTATACACTTCCTCTCTGTTGCCATTGTTGCTGCTAATTCTCCATTTTGCTCTTTGCCGCCACCATGAAAGATTGCCCTCTGCCATGTGCCACTCTGCCTTGGAGCCAGCCGAGTATGGACTGAAACCTCCAGTAACTGTGAGCTAAATAAGCCTTTCCTTCCTTCATTTTGAGTGTTGGGTCTTTGTCCCAGCAATGAGAGAAGAGTGATTGAGACACTGTTTTTTTTTTTTCTTTTCTTTTTTGGTACCAGGAATTGAACTCAGGACCTTGTATTTGTCAGATAGGTGCTGTGCCATGGAGCTATTTCCCCAGCCTTCTCAATAGTTTTTGGTCTATCACAATCTTGGCACTTTTGAAGAGAACTGGTCAGTAATTTTGTAGAATGCTTCTCAATTTGGGTCTGTCTCAAGATTAGATTAAAACTGGGCATGTGTGACAATTTTTCTTTTTTTTTTTTAACTAACACATGAAAGTTTAATAGTAACATCTTAATTTCTTAGATAAATTCTAAGAAAGTTTCTTCAGAGAGAAGAAATGTAACAGAAGTTTGAAGTACAAAAATAATTATATAAAATAAAGTTAAATGAACAGTAATAAAATAAATTTATAAGAACTATCTGTATCCTGTTATTAAATATATACATTTATATATTATATATTATGTATATATATTTATATATAAAGAGAGAGACAGAATCTGTTAGCTAAGAAAAATTAAACCTGAAGTGTCATTAAGAATGATGTATGGAGTGTAAGGTTTTTAGTGGGATTAAGCTGTTTAATTTTCCAGAAGAAATTTAAAAAATTGATTTATTTATTTTTTTTTCAAACCAAGCTGGTATGACAGTTTCAATAATTAACACATTGTATACATTCTTCCTAGTGGTTAATTGCTGTAAAAGATGCAGACATGATACCCTACTTACAAACACCATTAGAACAAATCCCTCTCTTCATTAAGAGAATGTAACTGTATATTGATCCTAGCCATTTGAATACACATACACAAAATGGACACTCATCTGCATCCCCTTTTTGTTAAGTTCCATTATTTGAATATTATAGGTGTGTAAACTCAGCAAAATATTCTAAAAGAGTCCAGTAGCCCA